GTTCTGCATCAGCAGCTGATGTGTTTCCTGAAATCAGGTGAATATGAGCAGCTGCTCTGCTCCCAGTCAGTTCTGATCATTACGCTAGAAAACAAACACGTGACAGTGATTTCATCAGCTGCTCATTATGTTGGTTTGGAATTCATTAAGGCTGTTAAGGATCACAAGTACAAAAAAGATGCAAAATCACTGCAAAAAGATTCAAAATCGCCACAAACATATGGGAAATAACCACAAAGTGACACAAAATCACCACAACTATATAGGAAATAACCACAGAAAGATGCCAAATCACCACAAAACAGAAAGCAAAATAACCCTTAAAGATGCAAAATCACCACAAAGAAATGCAAAACGACTACAAAAAGACACTAAATCATCCGTAAAAGTTGCAAAATCGCCACCAATATATGTGAAATAACCACAGAAAGTTGCCAAATCACCACAAAAAAGAAAGCAAATTAACCCTTAAAGATGCAAAAACACCACAAAGAGATGCAAAACGACTACAAAAAGACACTAAATCATCCGTAAAAGTTGCAAAATCGCCACCAATATATGTGAAATAACCACAGAAAGATGTAAAAAAATCCACTAAAACAGGCAAAACCACTCCTTAAAGATGCAAACAGACGATAACGTGCAGATTCTATCCCTTTGACCAACGGGCTGGATGAACAGTAGGTGTGCCGTTCTTTCTTTGGGTGGTTTACTCTGTCAGACTTGTGGGGAACAAGCTGTACAGTTTGTGTTTATCCATTTATCACTGTTGTTGAAAAGCATCAACATCCTGCGCCGAGCTGCTACGCGTTTGGTTTCTTTTGGGAGAATTTATCTCCACCACACGAATGCAGCAAACCTCCTGCCGTCCCTCTGCGCCCTGACCAGACAGAGCCGAGCTGACCTGCTTACAGTCGGGTGTGTGAAGCTTCCATGAGCTCACTGGGAGGAACGAACTGTACCCAGGGTGTGAAACCAACTGAACCGGAAACTGCGGCTCTATTTTGGTGTCGTCTCCGCCCTGCGTTGCTGTGAACCTCTGTGGAAACACAGCGGGAGGCTGCTCTGCCCGTCACTCACGCTGACTCATCTCATAAAACCATTAGGCACGCCGTAAACACTTTGGCGTGACGCGTTTCTGGTGTTTACGGCGGCGTAAAGCGACAGGTCTGCTGGGCCGAGGTTCAGACTGGTTCTGTGGTTAAAATATGACATTGGGAGATATTAAACATTCATCAGAGTGAAAATATTATGAGCAGGCATCGGTGGTGAAAGATTAACCGCTCCCACAGATATTAAAGTCAACACGGGGAACGAAGGAAGGAATGTGGATGGTGATGAACTATGACGGGTTTCCTCTCATCGATATCAGTTATTACTGAAGAATGTCCGTGTGCTGAAGCACAGAGAACAGAATGTAAACCCTTTGTTTAGGGCACAAAGAGGCTTCGTCACTAACTGCTGCTCTGCTAAAGGTTTGGCCAACAGGACTCGGATGTGTCCGGTGTCACACGTGCTGGGTTACGGTTCGTCTGACAGACCGTCAGCCGGACGAACAGTCAGAAACAACCGTCGGGCAGCAAGAAGGAAATAAAGCAGGAACGAGGAAATGATGTAGAACCTACAAACTGAAAGTAAACTCATTTGTCAGATATCACGTACATGGAGTGTTTTATTTTGTTGTACCGTAAATTCCAGACTATTGAGGCACCTGAATATAAGCCCCATCCTGCTTTAAAAAGAAAACCAGTCGTGTACATATACAGGCCGCACTTGTCGCTCTCAGCGTCACTTTGGTCTCGAGGCAAATTCGTAAAAATCCATACATTAGCCGCATCGTTGTTTAAGCTGCAGTGTGAAAAAAGTAGTGGCTTATAGTCCAGACATTACGGTAATTGTGTTCCACTTGTAGGTGTTGGGTCACTTTAACTTATCTACAACCTGAATAAAGGTTAAAGTCATGAAACTTACTGTCACTGTGCTCTGGGACAGTTTTATAACATCCAAAGTATTTAGCAGAACATTAAAGGTCCCATGTGGTAAAAAAAAAAAGAAAAAAAAAAAAGGTTTTTATTGTGTTTTGTATGTTTTTCAAACCTGGAGGTTTAAAAGTGGTCCATTACACCTTTCTGTATAGCTCCGCCCCCTCACTGCTGCCTCTCAGTCCACCAGGTGTATTTACTTTCTACAGCTCTGAAATATCTGACACACAATCAAAACTCACCAAATGTTCTGCTGTAAGAGTGAACACGAGAGTCCTCATGCACTGACAGCATCTGAGGAGCTGAACACCCAGTGGATTCCTATTATTTTGTCCCCACAACAATAAGAAAAACCTGAGTGTTAGCATGCTGTGCAGCTAATGTGGCTAATGTTAGCTCTGTGGAAGCTTTAATTGAACCCAGTGAACCAGGACTGGGTGGGTCACTGTGGTTCCATCTGGAGCTTCTCTCCTGCTCACATCATTTTAACATCAGCTGGATTCACAATAAAGCTGCTCTCATCTACACGTTTCTGTTGTCAGACAGCGACTGAAACTCATCCAGACGGCACGTTAACCAGCAGTCGCTTCATTTCCCCAAACACAGGAGGTAAAACCGACGGCTGTGCTGAGAATTCACACATATTTACATGTGAAATGATCCTCGGAGAGAACGATAGAAGCATCCTCACTCGCTCCTTTGTGCTGAAATCAAACATCTTTGTGGTGTTTTTCTCAATATGGGACCTGTAGGTTTAACTTATGGCACTTTTTATTACCATTTCGGCTTGGATTGTTCTGTATTTCCTATTTTCTTGGGACAAAGCAGTTTTCCCATATCAATACATCCAAGTTCAATAATGCTAATGTATATAGATACTTAAGCCGGTGCTCTGCAGTGACGAATGAATATTAAGAAAAGGTTTGTGCTTCACTGGCAGGTGGAGGTCTGGGAGGAATCGATGCTTCACAGTTTTCCAGCCTTTGAGCGTCCTGGTCTGTGTTATTATTATTTGCATTGACTTACTGAACATTTGTAGCTTGAGAGAATCTGTGCTGCTGAAGAACAACGAGACATGAAGGCCTGAACCAGACTAAGAAGCAGAAATCTTTGTGCCTGGTTGAGTATTTAAAGAGACCTGAAAGAAGAACCAAACACAGATTTGAGTTGTATTGTTGAGTAAATCAGAGTCTTGTAGGGCGTGAATGAGGAAGGACCAGATGTTTGTCAGCATCGGGAAACAAGAAACCACCTAACTCACTGACTGGAGGAACGACCAGCTTCCTGATACGAGTATTATTGTTTAACAGAAGCTGAAGGGGAAGAAGTTTCCCTGCCAGCTCTTAGGCTGACGTTTGATGTGGAGATTCACCGTCTGTAAAATAATCTGCTTCCTCCGACGGAGCGACGCAGGATTAGCAGCTGCTGCTTCGACGGCGTGAAACCTGAGCTCGTGTGTGATGTGGTTCGTTCTGTCAACCGCACGCACTTTGACGCTGACCGCAGCTTTCTTCCACATCCGTCATCCGTCAGTAAAAGGGATGTTTGGCAGGTTTGATCTCTTAATCACCAGGAAGGTCCTCCGAGCTGACGGGCTACCGAGACGAATCAACGCATCCACGGCGACTGAAACCAGTCGGAGCTGATTCTTCTCTCACATTGGCGCTTCTACTTTGTGTACAGCTACGAGCATTTAAAACCACAAAGCAAACTTGTGGTTTTTGCAGATGATCCAAATACTTTCTGCTCAGACAAGTTAGAGACGCGATTAACTAACGTTCAAACAGAGACAACGGTGGTTTGACAGGAATAAATGATCAATAAATCTAAAAAAAACAACATTTCTGCTGTTTAACATTAAAAGAACACATTTGTAGGTGTGATGCTGGATCACAAACTCAGTTGGAAACACTGAGCCGGCAAAAACAAAACAGTACCGCACATAGTATCACATTACATCCAGTAGAAATATTACAAAATAAAGCTGGTGGGAGAACGTAGGATATAAGGAGCAAACTAATAATCTGTTTTCCAAAACAAACACTTTAAAATGAACTGATTTAGTTGAATGTAGAACTGTGCAATCAACAAGTTCCTCCTTGAGAACATCCAACATCTGTTCAGAAGCAACACTGGGACCAACGAATTTAATTAAATGTTGAAAAGCTCGTAGCAGCATGAAGACTGGATGTTTATCACGTATGGACGACGATCTCAAAGTTAGAAAGCAAATTAAGAGAATACACAAAAAAAGACTGCTTGACAAACACTGTAAATGTGTTCCTGGTGTTTCTAAAGACGTATAAAAGGTTTGAAGCAAACAGGAAGTGAGACGTTGCAGGTAGAAGTTCATCAGTTTAACTTCCTCCTCCTCGTTTGCAGATGTTATTTTAGGTTCTGGTATTTGTCTCTTTTTCATTTTGTGTGTTTTATTTTCTTCTTTTTCTGTCTTTATGATACGGTGGAATAAATCTAAATAAGTGAAATTTATATCACTGAAGATAAACACGACAGCACAGATTTCGACAGTATAAGTAGAACAACAGGAACTGTCCTTCTCAAACTCAGCTCGCAGCGTTCACAGTATTTAGTTCGACACAGCGAAGACGAGGCTCAACCGTCTGTCAGTGTGAAGCTACATCAGATTACAGTCACAGATAAAACTTAGCAGAACTTCTGACATGCGTGCACACATCAGTATGCAGCACATTGACGAGGTCCACGCAGAATAAATAATTCAGTCCCGGTGGGAGGAGATTTAACGAAAACATCAAATTAGGGTTTGAATTAAATTGTTAATTTCATGCTTATGGGCTGTTTAGCGCTCGACACCGGCGACGGTCGAGACTTCTGAGGAGCCGCCGTATCTCTGAATCTGGGATGTCTAATTAGTTTTCCTGACTCGGGGGAATGATGCTGTTGGTGTTTGTTTATTATTGGGAAGATGGAGGAAGATGGAGAGGAGGCGTCGTCACAGCTCCCTCTTTAAACAGCTCCTCATGTTCAGGTGTGTCCTACCTGATGAGAGCCATCCTGGGCGAGGCCTGCTGCTCCGGACCAGGAGGGTTCAGGGTGGAGGCCCGGAGGGATGGAGGCAGGACGGAGGAGGATGGAGGCGTCTGGCTCGGAGGGTTCTTGTGGTTCCGTAGAAGACGGAGGGATTTGGCCCGGACGTGCTGGACGATGCTGTGGTTGCTACGGCGATGGGCCGGTCCCGTACCCGACCGCTGGAGGGTTTGTTCTGATCTGGAAATGAAACCATGAAGAGCTGAATGTAGGAGGTTTGGATGACTCCTCACCCGGTCGGCTGAACCTCCACATCCCTGTGTGACGGCCCAGTCTCAGCTGCTGCCATGGAGGCCTAGATTCCGTTTACCTGTGGGTCCCTGAAGGCATCAGGACGGCCCATAAAGCTTAGCATCCCTCTTTTGCTCTCTCTCTCATTTATTCTGACCCGGCTTCGTTGGTGGTGACACGTCTTTCTCTGTTTTGCTTTGTTTCTGCTCCACAACACCTCCCATCCCATCATGTTCACTCAGTCACACCTACACTACTAAAACTACCGATAGTCACACGCCATGCTTAGTATCATTTGTTCAATGGTTTGCTTTTGGTTGTAATAAACATCCTTATTTTGAGTTAAATCTGTGTTGCTTACCATATTTGTTATAACCCACGAGCCGGGTCATGACACCTGATTAGGTCCAGTGTGTATTAATGACCGTGGCATCCTGACTGATAGCTGGGTTCGTTTGCATATCTTTGTTTTGAACTGTGTGGAAACTGACAGTGACCTGATATCTGCAAATATATTCTTCTGATATTCTTCTCCTGGAGGTCATCTGATGTCACGACCAACAACGTGAAGGCAAACTCAGCATCTTCTTTAAAACCGATTCCTTGACTTAGTTTTGTTTTGCAGCTTTTTCTTAACTGATGGAATTTGTTTGACCAGTTTCATCTCGTTTAAACACTTGTTTAAAGTTTTATTTTCCATATTTCTTCTTCTAGCACCGTGGCCTCGCAGCTAGAAGGTCTCCGGTTCGTGTCCCGGTGAGGACACCCGGGATCTTTCTGCGTGGAGTCTCCATGTTCTCCCCGTGCAGCGTGGGTTCTCTCCGGGTTCTCCGGCTTCCTCCCACAGTCCAGAAACATGCTGAGGTTAATTGGTGATTGTAAATTGTCCGTAGGTGTGAATGTGAGTGTGCTTGGTTGTCTGTCTCTAAGTGTAGCCCTGTGATAGACTGGTTACCTGTCCAGGTGAACCTGCCTTCACCCTGAGTCAGCTGGGATAGACTCCAGCCCCCCATGACCCTGGTGAGGATTAAGGTGTAGAGATGATGGATGTTTCTTCTTCTTCATTGTCTTCTTTACTTCTCCATCTTCTTCTTCAACTCTTCACTTGCTAAGCATCTGCTGACAGACACTATAATTTACCAACGTTCCCTAAACGCCTCACATCCAAAGAGTGATATAAGTCGTTCTAATGTCAGATTTACTGAAGTTGAATCCAAATGATTTTATCTACATGGACTCTTTTCTGTGTGCATTGATCTGTGTGGATGCTTTTTGTTCAGTGATTGATAAAACCATCTATTTTCATGTAATCAATATCTATACATATTCATGACTACATTCTGCAGCAACACAACAAACAGGACAAAATCCTCTACAGCGGGACTCATTCAAGGCAGCTTTTGAACACTAAATCCATATCTTCTGACTCAGCAGCTACTTTTACATAACAAACAACAAACAGCAGCAGCACTGAGGAGGATAATAAATGTGCTGCTCTCCGTCGTCGCCTCCCCCCAACTCTCAGATGGGATTACGACGGTATTTGCACTGTGTTGTGATTCTCTCTGTATCCTCAGGTGTCTGCAGCACAGGAAACACCTGCATCCAGGTTCACTACGGAGGAGGGACGCGCAGACAAACGCAGATTCTACAAGAATCCAGGGATGCAGCGAGCAGTGATGCATCTACAGGACAGGACGCTGTTAGGTGCCTCGGTAAGTTCAGCCCAAGCACTGTGTGATGTGGCAGCTTTCCAGCAACACATGCCGGTGCACCATCACATGCAGATGAATGCAGGCTTGTCCACACACTGAAAATTCATGATTAGTCAGCTTTAAAACCACTGAGACACAAACACGACTGTAGCAAAGCACCACAAGCCTTTAGGCTCATTTAAAGGTCCCATGTGGTGAAAATACACTTTTATCGTGTTTTCTATGATTTATAAGCTTCAATGTTTAAATTAAAAACTGTTAATATATGAGGATGCTTACTCCTGTTCAGGATGAGCAGCTGCCTCACAGTCAGTCAGGTCTATTTACCTTCTGACCTCTAACCATGTCTGAGCCACGAGCTAAACTCACCAAATGATCGGCTGTCGGCTGCAAGAGTGAACACAAGAGTCCTCATGCACTCAAATGTGTTCAAAATAACCCTGAAAATTTGTCCACTATGACTCAAAAGTCATCGAAAACGAATGAAAAATGTGTTCAGAATGACCTATAGTGAAAAACACTTTCTGGGAGCATGTGGGACTTTTGTTAAAACATGACTCACTCTTCATTTATGTGAAACTACTGTAAACTTTGACATTACAGGAAATAAAACCACATCATTAAAACTCCACGGTTGTATCTGTGAACAACGTAATTCAAAGGAACAGAACTTCCGCCCTCTCAGTACACTTTCTATGGGCTGTTTGTTAGTTTAGTTCAGGGGTTGTGGTGCTGGAAACAACCGACGTATGGGAATCAAAGACGTGTGAAGGTACGCACGGTGTCAGGTTCCCCCACACGGCAAATATGCACGCAATGTATAATAAAAATGAAGCTTGTAATCTAATATGTGGCAGTAAAATTACGCTGAAATGATGTTGATCCTGGCACTTCAAAAGGCTCATGCCCTAAAGAATATACCATGACAGATCTGGGTCCTGACCTGGAGATGAAAGTTTCCAACTGCCGAGCAGCGAGCGCGTGGACCTGCCGAGGCAGGCAGCACGACGGGGGAATTCTGGGAGTCGAACGCCACAATGCAGCGCGAAGCATTCCTGCTATTGTTCAAATGTCCCGCGGCTCGCTTCATGTTTTGTCTACCGGTTTCTTAACAAATTCAACATGTCTGACACCGGTTCTGACGAGATTCCTCGGAGACGGGGACAAAGGCCCGGCAGAGATGCCCGGCCGGCCGCCGTACGGGGCAGATATGTGACGCTGTCGTGGCACTATGTCGAGGCACCGTGGTATTCAGGCAGAGTGACCCTTCAAACCCTGAACTCTGACCTCTGCAGGGCTGCAAACGCTGGACACGATCTCAGTCCTCCGAGTGATGCTGATTATGACAGCAGCTAACACGTCAGAACAATACTTTCAATATCACTGTATTGTTACTGCTCAGTGGTTCAGAATCAGATACGAGGAATTAGTTCTGGTGGGTCGGTGCAACAATAAATACAGAGTACGGCACAATGTACAAGATAAAACTATTAAAATAGCTAAAAAATAAAAGTAACCAAAAATAAAAATAACTAATTGTGCAAAGCTGAAGTAAAACATATAGTGGAGTGAAGAATTAAAATCAAATTTAATAAAGAACCATAAAACTGTCGTATTATTTACAAGAATATTGAGGGTGCAGATATATTGATATTTATATTTATATCTTTATAATAGTTGGTGCAACATTACTTCCTTCATCATGTGTAATATTTGTGCATATTTTCATTGCTCAGGTGTCATATTTCACTTTCATGTACAATAATAATCATGATAATAACAATATATTTTATTAGTAAGCACCTTTCTTGACACCTGAGGTCGCTTTACAGAAAAAAAAAAAGTCAATATGCGCAACATTTCATGTCAGTTTTCAGGTGCAGATATAATATTTCATGTCATTCCATACCTATCACTAGTGTTGCACGATATTAAAACGTCTGGCCGATACTGATATCCGATATAAGATTTCTGATATCGCCGATAACCGATATTATCGATGTCGATATTAGTTTTTGTTTGCACCGAAAAATGAGTCTCAGTAAGAACTGTGAGAAAACTATTCAAAAGAAGCCCAATTAGACCACATCGTCTGCTTCATTACAAAAGTAAAACATATTTAAACATATTTAACGTTAAAGGACCATTTCAGTAAAAACATCTGTGAAACAGCAGCGATACCAAACGTAGAGACGAAGGCGCTGATGTTAGACAGTCATCGGCTAAATTCGTTCATCGGACCGATACCGATGTGGTCGCTGATATATCGTGCATCCCTACTTATCGCCTCAGAATAACTGCTAGCGTGATGCTCTTCTGTTCTATTCCAGCCTTATTGTGGCTCACTCAGTGACGTGTTTCCATCTTATTGCCTCTCACTGCATTTCTTTTGTTTCTGAGCAACATCTGGCACGATCTCCTTCAGGGTTAATTAAGCTTCATCTCATCTTACGTCAGCTCAAGACACTGACGAAGACATTTAAACCCAGATTTTGTTATAAATAAATGTAAGAGCTGCACAGTTGGCCAGCGCTCCCTATATTCCATTTAGTCCATCAGAACATTTAAATTAGTGATGCGCGACAGGACTGATGTTTAAATGTTTAAAGGTAGATAACAGTGGAATAAGTTTCTCTGTGCTTCTGTGCAGCAAACACAGGAAGCTCCAGATCCCCGCTGGGCCCGCTGGTCCTCAGGAGGACAGAGAAGTGCTCAGTGTCTCTGAGATTTAAACCCACGAAGCTCAAGATTTTAGAAACAGTTCAAACAAAACATGGTTAAAAATTGATTGTTCTTTTTCCCTCGGAGGGGCTGAAACAGAAAAGCAGAGCGGAGAAGGCCAGCGAGGAACTGGATCAGGCTTAAGTTATGCACAGTTCTGCAGTGATTCTGGGTCTTTGTTTCTCGGCGTTCTCTGCTTGGCTCTGGGAAGGTGCGACCGACTCCAGCCTGACCCGGTCTGATCCGAGGCCCTGCAGACGTGAAGCGTGTTGCATGAACGTGACGGTTTAGACGACTACAGGCTGATCCGGTGGTTAAATATTCACATGAATCATTTTTACTGTCAGACGTAACATCTCTGTGAAATATTCAGCGTCTAACAAACGGCCTCGGGGTTAGTTTGTCAGAAACGCTGCAGAAAAAAAGTACTGAATGTGTTCCGGTTCTTAAACTGTTGATGGTTTTAAAGGCAAACTTAAAACTCGTCTTTATAGCCTGGATTCTGATTGATTTTATTAATTAATTACTCCTTTAGAAATACTTTTATTCTTTTTATATCTGTATTTACATTTTGATTGATTTTATTAATTTATAATTCCTTTAGAAATACATATTTTTAAAATTTTATTTCTGTATTTTGTTGATTTATTACAGATTTATAACTATTTTTATTTTATTCACTTGATTCATTTATTACTCGTTTACAACAAATTTTGTTCATGTGTTTCTATATTTACAATCTGATTTAAAACTACAGTTATTTGTTTGTTTATTTACCTACATTTTGCTTGATTTTATGGCTTTATTAATTTAATGTATTAGTTTCTATATTTACATTTTGATTGACTTTATAGATTTTAATCTTTACAACTCCTTTAGAACCAAGCGTATTTCTTTATTTTTATATTTACACTTTGATTTGTTAAAACTAACTTTATTTATCGATTACTCTATAAAGTCACATGTTCTAGTCTATTTGAATGTATAGTTTATTTTTTTTAAATGTAATTTTATTTAGTTTTTATGAACTTTGACTTTGCCCTTAACCTACATATCTAACTATACTTTAATAATTGATATTTTATTTTTTTTAATTTTTTAATTTTTTATTTTATCTCACCCCGCGTTTCCTCAGTTCCTCTGCTTTAGAGTCCTTCATTAATAACAAGACGTTGGCGGTTGTTTATATTGTTTTATTGCATTTTTATTCCTTTCATCTGTAAATAACTTTCACAGGGTTTCATTTCATTTGTATTAAAACGTGCTTAATAAATAAAGTCTGATCGACTGAAGTGAGAATCAATCGAGTCACACTTTCTATGTTTTTTTTTTTCCCCCTCATCTGTCACCAAACTTTCCTTCCTGCTCAGATGAAGTCCGTTTTCAGAGGCGATTGATTCCATCCTCGACCACTAATTTAACACCCAATTACAATAATCCCTGCCGTGACCCCCGGTGACCCCCGGCCCGGTTAAAACAACCCAAACCACTTGACACACAGAGCAGAGCTGAGAGGAATGACAAGCACGCTAGAAACA